CCAACGTTTTTAATAAAAAACAAAACAAACCTTTTTAATCAACGGAGACTCTAAATTAAGAAATCAACATGTATATTTTCAGTTTTGTTGTCTATACATTTCATTTTATACTTTCAATACACAAATGATAAACAATATTAGGTTATACATGACATAAAAGCTATTGTTGGAACATAGTGTTACCAAAAGGCATTGGCATTTCTATATATTAAAGGTTGTTAATCAAACTGAGTTTACCAATAATTATTCTACGAATGCACCACGAATTCATTTCATGGATGATCTTATTTTTGGTTGGCTCACAAAGGAATTTATCGACGCTTGACTGCACTTTTCTGCCTCTTTTTGGGTCAAGCTTGATTTCGCAAAATTTATTGATTTCAGTTATGAAATGCGAGACTAGGGTATACTATGGGGTGGGAGTGGTAGTACTTACCACGTCATTTTTGACGGGCTATACGCTAGTGTGAAATAAAATTAGTATCCTTTGGTATATTTCCAACGATATTAAAGTTTGAAAACAATTTGAATTCACGGTTTTGTTTGGCATTATAATTTGAGTTAAACTTGAATCGATAATTATGCAATAAATTAATCTCTTTTTTTTTTAAGATAACACTTTTAATATGAATGTTTTTAATATGAAGACTAGAAAAAATGGAGTTAATTGTATTATTTAATAATAAATCAGAAATGTAATCGTTGTTTTTGTGTGCGTGTTTTTTCTTAGTGCAAAGCTACAAAATAAACTAGTTGCGCTTTGTCCAACCCGAGTAGTCTTCCAGTGGGATAGCGGTAAGTTTAAGGACTTACAACCGTAAAATCCAGGGTTAGGTATCCCATGGAGAACACAGCAGACAACCCAATGAGGCTTTGCTCTGAAACAACCAAACTGTATTAGCAATAACATAAGCTTAATCAACCAAGTAGACTATCATTGGTGAAAGTGTAACTTATTGCCTTTGATTTAACATACATATAATATTTCACCCGTTAGTCATTAGACAATAACATTTTTAAAGTTCACCCTCTATATCATTCAGGGATGACATTCCTATTTTACATTTCTCCCTGTATGTCATTCAGGAATGATGTTCCACGAATCTTTAATTTTGTTTATTTTCGTCCTCTGGTGTGTTAATGGTTATTTAATTTCTTAAATTGTGCGCAAAATAATTGGACATTGTGATCTTTGTATAAAAATCATATCAAATAAACTGACTTCACAATCAAAATATTTAATTTTGACGAGTTTTCTTTTTTTTCATAAATCCACAAAATAGTTTTATTTTGTAGGTTAGGGCTTTAGTAATATTTTTCTACTGAATCCACTTATACCCCATCCCGGCGCTTTATATGTTAGATACTACCCAAAATCTTAAGACAGAAAAATGGTATTACAAATAAAATAATGTATATTATCTTAAAATGGCTCTAACACTCAAATTTAGTGTAGCGATTGCTGAATATTTATCATATTTTATAAGAAGAGTACTTCAAATCACGAATAACTCTTTGACTGTATTCAGTTTTATAGCCATATTTACATACTATTGTTTGATACAGCAGTTCATTATACAACTTCTGCGAAAGACGGCGAGGTCCACCTTAAGCCACACATCTTGATGTACATATATATTATAGTCCAACCACTATGTGTGGATGTCAGCTTATAAGGTCGCACTTCAGCAAATCGAAGGCATAAAACTGCATCAGATAAACATATATCGAGGGATTTAACAGGATGGGGTTGCTATGATTCCAGTTTCCTCGGTCATCTTTTCACCTGAAAACGTTGATCTTGAGGTGCGGCTGAAAACTTGAGCCTTCGCTAATTCAAGTGCTTGTTTGTTATCTTTACCTTCATTTTCATGAGGACATTGCTCTGCATTGTCTAGGGGTTTGGTGTTGCAGCTCTTGCTGTCCTAAATGTTTTGCTGTACACGATTTTCTACTTTCAAGGTGAACGAGCATTGAAGGCTTCCTTTTACAAAATGTAATGTCCTTTGGATTAAAGTCATTGAACAATCTCGCTATTCGAAAATATTTCCTCTAAAAGGACTTTGGCATATTCCTTCATACATAAACTTTGTCGTAGTTGTATTGCACTGTTAAATGGTCGGTATTCAGTTTGGGCGAAATAGATTAAACGTGTTTCTAGCAACTTGAAGGCTTGTACCCTTAGTAACACGCAATTAAATCAAAATAATCTTATTTTAATGGAGCTTGCGATGTATACGTCCAACAACTCGGATCTCGGAAGCTGCCGCACCAATCATCATCAATCATAACTGGGTAATATTTTTATAACTAGGCAGTATTTTTATAGCCGAGCAATAAATAAAACAATTGAAATTTCCTCAAAAATGATACGTTTCAGATTTAACCAATAGAAATTACAAAAAGGAGTAAGTTTCAAATATAAAACAATCAAAAACAAACTTAAAACTATTATTTGTTTTTCTTTAGTGAAAATCTCACGAGTGTTGAAACAGAAAAGCAAGGCACTTTCATTTATAACTACGTGTACAAAGAAATACTTAAATAAAATCTACTCTGGGATGTAATGCTGTGATAGCTCATTTTTAAACTAAAATTTCAATAAAATCCTTTTTCTCATGGAAGGTGAACATTATTGAATGTCAAGTATGAGTACATTGTTGTAGAACTGTCGGACAATTCCAGAAAAGGATGCAGTCTCAATACCCTTCCGCAGGAACTAGCAGTTATGTCTGATCGGAGGGCGGGTATTTCTGCTAGTTTTTAGTTTTTATAAAGTATGATTAAGCTCTCTCTACTGGCTGGGAGATATTTCTACTAGTAATGTATCTTCAGTTATTAAATCGCATCAAAAAAAGCATTAAGAAAAAATTTTGAAACGTGAATCACTTATTTTTTTAAATAGTGTAAATGATTATGAATAAATGAGAAAAAACAAAAATAAAAAACGAACTATAGGACTGATTCAACCATGCGTGCAAAAAAGTGGTGATAACAATTATGCGTATCCTGTTTGATATTACCTTGGACACAGAGAGAAGTATAAAACAAACATACATTCAGCATAAGAAGGAGTGCATTACCACTACCAAACACAAAAAACGGGAGAGAAAAAATGGAATTTTCATGCCAGTTTATGGACACAGCGGGGATTTAGATGGATTTTGTAGAAATATATAGGTATTTATAAGTAGAACAAAAAAAAAAAGATTAAGCAGCGTGGATACAAGCATTCTAAAGGTTTTCCCAAGGAGAAAAATGAAACAACGCATCCTTCCCCTATTTTTTTTTTTTTCGTAGGTGATTTATTGCTATTTTTATGTATGGATGAGCTATTCGGTTTTTTGCAAGTTTCCAAAACAAAATGATAATATTGTTCAAGTCTAATAATAATAAATCACCTGATGCAACATTCCTGCAGCTACACTTTGCTACACTGATCATCTGCTAAAGGAAACTGTACATGTCTACAAACCTTGTATATTAAATACACAATAGTTCAGCTGTAAATAAAAGTTTCATTCAACCATGTTTTTGAAAAGTCAAAACAAATATATACATGCTTTCTTTGTTAACAGAGAATGCCTTTAAAATTGTAATTTAATAAAAACATTGAACTGTGTGTTTTCAAAGTTCAGACACTTGTGTATTGCTAAATGCAAAGTTCAATGATGTAATTAAAAGTTCATAAAAGCGTGGTTTCCGAATTTATTTTTAAAATTGTTCGGTAAAACGGGTTATGTGTAGGTGATCTGAATCCAAATGATGAGTTGACGATAAAATAATTTTTTGTTACAGTAATTCTAAAGATTTTTTACAACACTAAAGTATCTTGACGCACAAAAACAGGATATATTATTCTTGATGCAAGATCTATTAATTTTGTAAAACTATTAGGTACAAATAAATCTACTTGTTCTAGGTATTTTGCAACTTTAAGAAAAGTTTTTGCATCATTTTTAAGGAGCTACTTTGAGTTGGAAAATGTAGGTTGATTGCAAATTACAATTACGTTATTTAGATTAAAGTCATGCCCTTAGTCACGAAAACAATAAAAAAAAGACCAAGAATTGTCTTAATGAATGATTTTGAAATGCCATGTTTCTTGTTAAATAATTAATAATATTTAAGTTATTACTTAATGCTTCAAGGGTTTTGAAGAAATAACTTGTTACAAAATACCGTGTTAAAAAAAATGGTCCATTTTAAATACACTTCATAATTAAGAAGTAATGTTTCTATCTTTGAATAGGAGTTAACACTAGATTTTCTTCGCACCTTTATTACATTTTGTCAATCTTTATTTTATCACTTTTTACAAATACGTTGAAGCCCAACTAATTGTACACTTCTACATAATACAGACACAAATATTAATTTTCGTTTGCAACAGTCCAGTAGATAAACAGATTATATTACAGCTAAATATGTGGTTTGTGAAAAGATGTCATTATGTCTATCACAGATCGTTAAGATTACCATGCTTACTTGTTCTTGTGTAAACACTGAAAGTTCGGAGTTCAAGTGTCTGACCCTCTCTTACATATGCCCCTTTTTGAAGTTTATACCATAAATTAAACTAACATTACAAGAGTGCACTTAGATACATACCACAGGAAGTAAAACGAAGTATCATTCAGATAGAACTACCAGGTACAAAACTGTCTCAAACATTTAGGACTAGTTGTTTTCCGTTGATATTTTAGGGTCAGAAATATTAGTTTTAAACGCTTATTCTTTTATGTAAAATCAGTAGATGATTTTTCTTTATTCAACGGTAACTAGCACCTTTAGATTGTCCATCACTTGAAAGCAACATTTCTCCAAACTTAAAATAAGATTATATAATTGGCTGTACAAATACCGATATAAATTTGTACAGTGGTAAATAAAATAAGACAAACTATTTAAAGCACATTAATATCATAGTGAATGTTGCAGCTAAAATACACTGTTCAGCATCATTATATACATTAAAAGGTTATTATACGTTATCATACAGTTCTTTTGCTTTAATCAGATTTTTTTTGGTTTTAGATTTTTTTTATATTATAAATTAATAATCATGTTGTTCAACTACGGGACTTATTATAAAATATATTCCTGCCTTTCAACCTTAGAAGCATTTAACTTATTAAATGTTAAGGTAGACAATTATCAACAATTGGACAGAACAATGTATACAAAATATTATAGTAAATTTTAGCCAGAACAACCACGAACATTTTAGTGCTATCTTTTAATCATATATGAATGTATATTTTCGCTTGATAGTATTGAACCACATATAAGGAGTTGTTAGGAACCTCGTCGGATTCTATCTCGACGGGAAATATTGGTCTATTGATCAAAGGGTAAATATTATATTTCATACCGTGTTATGTCAAATTTACCTCATAATTAATTACTTTATGCGATTAAATTATCGACAAACGACGTTTTCAGTAAAAAAAAAAATATATATTCATAATTCGGTAACTGGCGCCATCTTCAAAGATTGTTGGGCTGCTGCATGAAGAATATTATGTTCTTCCTCGACACACGTAGTTTTCTGATACTGAGGGTCTTTTCTTCTCGATATCCATTTCTTCTTGAATGCGCGAGAAATATTTTCTCTGTAACGAATTCCCAGTAATACGAGAGCACTAACTGTAAGGACGGCTGCTACCACAACGCCAATAATAATCTTACGTCGTCTGTTTTCTAAGAAACAACCCAGATCTTCCTCAGTAACCTGTGTAAGAAGCGCATTTTCCATGGCCGGGGGACTGGCACAGCGTACTTCGGTCAGATCGTCATTTGGAGAAACTGACGTGAAATTATTTTTCTTTAAAAGATTACATAACCATTTCAGCTCACAATCGCAGATAAGAGGATTATCTCTAACATCAAAAACATCTAACTCATCCCAAGGAAGCAGATCATAGTGAAATGTGGTAAATGCATTGCCTCTCAAACTTAACATTTTCAGATTAGGCAAGTTATCAAAAGTTTGAAGATCAATTTCTTTAAATATTTTATTGTGGTTTAATACCAGTTTCTGCAAGTTATTGTTATCTGCAAAAGCACCATTTTGGATCCTTAAGAACTTTCGACCTCCACTTATCTCAATAACACGAAGATATTTTAATCTTTTGAAGCTCAATGGCTTTAACTCAAAGAAATTATTTTGTCCAATGTTAATTTCTTCCAAACGTCTTACATCAAACAATGTAGTGGTTGGGATTTCGTCAAGGTCATTGTCCTGGAGTCGAAGTACGAGTAGCGAGTTCAGCCATCTAAAGGCTCCAAGTTCTATCGTTTCTATACCACAACCATCAAGCGATAATTCTTCTAACTGCCTAAGAGATGAAAAGCCTTCTTCTGGTACTTTTCTAAGTGAGTTCAGACCAATATCTAGCTTTAATAGCGTAGGTAAGTTATGGAATGCAAGTACTGGAATGCTTGTAATTTTATTATCTCTCAAAGAAAGAACCCTCAAACTGTTCAGACCAACAAATGCAGCATCAGAGATAAAGAAAATTCTATTTTGTGAAAGGTCCAAATTTTCCAGGCTCGGAAGGATACTAAACACATTTGGTGGGATTTCTTGTAAGAAATTCTCATTCATATGAAGAACTGTTAATTTCTCTAAACCTAAAAACGTTTCGTTTTGAATGGATGAAATCATATTTCTGCTCAATAGAAGGTAATTTAAATGGCTTTGCTTTTGAAAATTGTTTTTACCGATTGTTATCAACTGATTATGCGAAACATCCAGGTATTCAAGATTGTGATAGACACCGAATGAAGCCATAATGCTTTTTATATGGTTATTTTTTAAAACTAACTCACGAAGTTCAGGATTCAGAGTTATCGGTACGACATCAAGATTTGCAAATTCACATTCAACTCGCAAATTCTCATCATCACAGTTACACTTAACGGGACACATTGCAACGACATCTGTCCACAAACATGTGAAGTAAAAGAGGAGTACGATAATACATGGAGATCCCCTCAAACGATTCATTGCCATTCGTCGAGATTCAAAACCTGCAATACAAGAAAAAAAAAGTAAAGTTTTGATAATGAATTATCAGTGTACTTCTGAAGGATGAACTGCACAAATAATTATATATACATACATATACATACACACACAACAAATCTGAAAAACCAAAGCGACGAAGTCCCAATTCGTTTTTCTAATAGGTACACAAAGAGGATAGAATACATTGAATAATTGAATGATTTAAGCACGCGATTTATTACATAGGTTTTGTTTGAATGTTGCGCAAAGCTACACGAGGAGTATCTGCGCTAGCCGTCCCTAATTTAGCAGTGAAAGACTAGAGGGAAGGTAACTAGTCATCACCGCTCAATGCCAACTCTTGGGCTAGTCTTTTGCCAACAAATAGTGGGATTGACCTTCACGTTATAACGTACCCAAGGCTGAAAGGACGAGGATGTTTGGTGAGACGTGGATTCGAGCCTGCGACCCGCAGGTTGAGAGTCGAGCCATGCCAGGCTCGATTATATCACTGGAGGTAAAGTAGAAGCTTGGCTCAGTTAAAATTAAATAATACGACATATAAAAGGTGCATTTCACTTGATATTAATAAAATGAAGTTTGTTTTATCCATAGGAAATGATGTAGGCATTAATGTTACCACTATTTATATGTATTTTTTCTAGTTTAAAAACGTGTTTTAAAAATACAGATTCATAAAGGTTTCATTTATATTTAACATATTGTTAGCAAATAAGTGTTTACAGACTTGTTTAATACATTAAAAACCCTCACGATCATATATATATTTTACTGAAACAGTGCCAGCTGTTTTGTAAAGGTGAGGCTACGTTAAAGAAGTTAATGTCACTTATACAACAAGTCTTTCTTCTGTAATTCTAATGGAAAATACTAGAGGCACGGAATTTTCAAAAGTAAAAAGGTTTCGCTCCAACGAAGCCAGTGAATTAGTTTTAAATATATTACGATGCATAACTGAAAACTAGCGCACGGTGATATTTCTTATATTCGCTAAAGGTTAATACTACTGCAGTAAAAAACAGTTAAATGAAGATAAAATGTTATTTGCATTAACAATTTACAATCAGGAGTATCAAGCTCGGGCAAAAATAGGAGTAAACAGCGAGAGTTTTTCCAGAAGAATATGACTTCCAAGGGTTAAAGTAAAACTATTGTGCAATGAAATGATTTTGAAATTCTTTGAGAAAAACAACACCGGAACACATTAAACAGTGACCGACCCATTAGCATCGGAAGTGATCGGTGGAGTCTTCCGTTGAGGCTCCACGCTTAGCTCCTGCCAGCTACTTCCTACATAGTAGGAAATGGCTATTGATCGGACTTGTCAGTGACGATGGTTAATAGAAAAGTTTAATACTAGTTTCCGTCAATAACGAGGTACCAAACTACCCCATTGTGGTAAGCGTCCCTTTCTGTGTAATAATGTAGCCACATATAAACATTAAAATTAGTCATACTAGAAGCTTAAAACGTATACAAGTTTTATCATTACGGTAATACTGTAAAAAGGTTAGAGCTTTGGAAGATTTTTTTCACCCACAGAGTAATTTAAACTTCGACCTTGCTTTATTGCTACTAGAACAGCACATCAAATCAATGAACAATCTAAGCTGAAATATTACCAGTGACACAAAGAGTGAAACTGTATCTGGAAGCCATAATTTTTGTACCAAATCAATTAAAGGTCAAACTACTAAATGTCTACTGAGGATTAATGTGTATGTTTTCATTTATTTTTAACCTATAAAATAATTACTTTGACTACTAGAACCACACTTAAATATAATCTACAAGTAAAGAAAAAAAGCTTTTCAGAAAAGGAAGTTAATTGTAGGGATGGCTAATATCAATCCTTCAAAAACAACACAAACAAAATAGTAGCGATGGCATTTGTATCAACTCTACATAATAGCACATATAATCGTTAAATCTTGCTTGTATATTGTGTAGGGAGGATGCAAATGTCATCCCTACTATCTTGTTTGCATTGTTTTAAAGAATTGATAATAGCCATTCCTAAATTTACTTTCATTTTTTGAAAAGTTTTTTCTTTACTTGTTTTTCAATAGACATAAGAAGGTTTTAATTATAACCAAGTTCTAAATACAATGAGGTTCCAACTGTAATATTTATTGTTTATATATATTATTGGCTGGTAACTCCCGTTTCACCTTGTACTTAAGGTTTTAAAGCTAACTTCAAGGGTAAATAACATCTTTACACTAGGATTATGATTTTTTAAATTATTATTAGTTATTAATAATACTTATAAAAACAGATAAACCGTTCGAAGCTATGCCAACTCAGTGAAATTGGTTGATGCCATTGTTTTGGGTTTCTGAGTTATGTAATAAAAAAAGAAGAAAATGAAAAAAGAACAAGAAATTCAAAATTTTCGCTACAATATTTACAGACATTCCCAAAATTTGTGACTCAGTCATAACAGATATTTTAATAAAAAAAAACATTGTATAGTATTGTAACGTTCTGGTGACCTATTGTGGAGATACTTAAAATACCATTTTGATGAACAATCCGAGCCATACCTACATAGACAGTGCTACCACCTGCCCGATATTTTAAGTTTTCTTTTAATAAAAGACAAAATACAAAAAACAATTAACTATGCTGAAGGTCTTAACGGGTCTAGTGCTACATGTCTTAACATACTAAATAAGGTTTATCTATGAGGTCAAAATTAACATTGTTCCTTACTGCTACTTAGCATTTCTAAGAGTGAATGCATAACAATATGTCAACCACAATATCCTTTACATCCAATCCGGCGATGCTTTTCCTTCAATACCAGGGCTCATCAGGCTGGCAAAAGGATATGATATTACAGTAAACATGTTGAACACGGTTTTTTATGCTTTTTGGGAGTTAAGTAATTGAAGATTATTATTCAGAATTTTTTTTTCTTTTCATCTAACTGACAAGAGTAGCTCATCATGTAAATCAGGGGATTGTGTACGACGACAATTTACCGTTGAAATTGTATCTACGTAAGCTAAAATATGATGAGCAAAGTAGGAAATACGTTGACGAAAGGCTCTAAAAGGGATGATAACAGAATTACAGTCATATGATCTCACTCTTACTTTACTCCCAGGCGATAATGATATTTTTATTAAAAGTGAGAAGAATTAAGATGAAGACTCTCCACCCTGTTCTATAATAATAGCATAAATAAATAAACACCTACAATTATTATATAAAAATATCAAACAAATTTCTCATTTTGTGTCTGTCCCAGGCTACTTTAAATTTTTCAGAAGTGTAAGCAATCATATACACATATTGAACAAACAAAAATGTGAATCACGCTAAGTTTACAGGCCTGTACCTAGCTATAATTTACTAGTATTTTTACACATCTAATATCAAAATGTTTGGAATGAAATATATTGTTTGATTACAAACTAACCAGTTAAATTATTTAGGACGAAATTAGAACTACTTTAAAGTTAATGTTGCCCGAAAACTACCACTTGAGAAATTGTGCTCTGCATTTTTGGCCAAGGGTGCGTTAGAAGAGTGTTGATCAAATCGCATCTAAAGAGTTGGTGATGGGTGTTGATGATTACCTTCCCCTCGTTTATTATATCAAAACTAAAGACGCCTTGTGCGTATAGCCTCTTTGCGTAGCTTTGCGCAAGTATCGAAAGTAAACAAACAGTAACCGCTTCTTATGGTATTTGCTTCTTAAGTCTTGAAAATTAACTGTAAGAAAATAAAATAAAATTAGTATTTGACAAAGACAAACTATCCCGCAAAGAAAACACATTTGAATGAATGGTAAATTTACGAACACAAAAATGACCCAATAGCATCCAATGATAACTGTTTGGCACGCTGCTAAGGTAAGAGTAATTTTGAAAAGAACAAAAAAAAAGATAAAAAAACTGATACTCCATTGTTTATAGCTCTAATTATTGTTTCCGATTTAATTCTGACAAACATTTACTTCGAATCACTACGATTTATCGTTGTTTTATTTTTGCTCTCGGATAGTGTGTTTTATCTGTACAGTATAGTGCCCCAATCAAGGGTGTTTTTTTCTATTTTATAAACACTCTCAAAGTGCACACAAAAACGTTATCCTTCGATTGTTGAGAAAATAGTTTTAAAAAAGTTTATTTTTAGCAATACTGACCTACATTCGTGAACTCTTCGTCTAGCTGTGGCACAATTAATATTTCAAGTCGCTATTATCTTTATCTTGGTCACGGAAACCAGAATCATACGTTTGACACAATTGATGTTGGCCCAGGAAGAAACTTTGGGCAAAATTTTATAATTAAACTTGTTTTTCCTAGTATACCAGCAAATGCAATTGTTAACTGAAGCAGTCGAGATATCTCTGTATAAAAAACATTATATTTCACCTCATACTAGTTATACATTGAACTTTAGTATAACTGAATATTCTATCATCGATTCTTTTCGAAAAACCAGTAAAAGTTATTCGCTTTCGGTTCGGTAAATGAAAGAGCACTTGATGCGATTTTAGTTCGGCGAAATTAAAAATTAAAGTGTTCGGTTCGGTGAATTTCACTATCGGTGCATTACGCCTATATTGCTCTGCTAAGGGTTTAAAAAAATCGTAAAAGTTTTCACGAAAAGTATTAGCGTGTTGCAAAGTAACAAGAAAAGGGAACGTTTCCTAAAGTTTGTGGTGTTGAAAGATAAATTATAAGAGTTCAGGGCAAACTTACAGTTACGTATTTTGATAAACTTTGAAATGTTTGTTTTTAACAATTATGTAACTCATTGGGTAAGTCAATTTTTTTTTTGTAGTTACGTAAGAAGCTTCACAATGGGCTATCTGTTCACCCCGGGTATCGAAACTCGGTTGTTAGCGTTATAAGCCTTCAGACTTGTTTTGCCATTGGGGGGCTTTATAGATACCATCTGTATATTAGATAAAATTTTTATAAAGGAAATAGTAAATAAATTACTAAAATATCCAGAAGTTAAATAACTTTATTGGTTATTATTT